TAATTCCACTGAAGTTTAAAACTTCTAATTTTGAGAAGTATGATGAAACTAAGTGCCCATCAACTCATCTTATAATTTTGTATCGTAAGATGGCAAGCCACACTAACAATAATAAGCTTTTTATTCATTGCTTCCATGATAGCCTCACTAGGTTTACGACTAGATAGTATGTTAAATTAGATAGGAGTTGTATACATGTACAACCTTTTATATTTAAAATCGTATTTTTTTGTTTATTCTTTTATTTAATTTTATTATTTAAGATTAAGGAATCGTTTTGAAGCTACGAGACTTTAGGGCTTAAGTTTTCATTTAGGGTTCAAATTAAGGTTTTGGATTTTACTTAGGATTTAGAGATTCACCTAGGGTTTAGGATTTTATTTTTAGGGTTTTATTTTTTGGGAAAACCCTAACTAAACCTATGTAACAAATCTTAAATTTTTGCCCTAACTAAACCTATGCAACAAATTCACGCCAACAAATAAATCCAACCTTTCCCATATTTGATCAACTTATAAATGGCAGCAAAACTTTCTTCATTCATAATGAACTATGCACATATAACGTGTGAAGTTATTCTATTTTGTTTTTCATGCTCATCGCTAATTAATAGAAGACCAGTTTTTCCATACTTTTTTTGAAACAGATGTTGGAACCAAAAGGAACGGAAGCTTATGCTTCCCAAAGTAGCCAAGACAACAAGTGATTACACATAAATAATTCATAAGTAGAGGAAGCAAATCGAATGAAAAAAAGAAGAACTTTAAGCCAAAATAGACATGTCATGAAGCTTTAAACCTTTTAAAACTTAGCATATGCTTTTCATGCAAAAAAAAAAAAAAACAGGATTTAAACATTGTATTTTCTCTTTTGCACCTTACTACTATGCTTTGTGCTTGAAAGCTATTAAAGAAATCTAAGCAAAAGAAGATGGCTTTCAAACTCCATTACTTTTTTATGGAAAACATAATATAAAATCATATTGGTGATTTTCATGGATTCTCAACACAAAACAAAGCAAAGAAAAATATGATGATTTCATGCATACAACAAATTATGATAAACAAAAGAAAGTTTACCTTTTCTTACTTTTCTTTCTCATTAATGGCTACTATTGAAGGCTTCTTCTTTGTCTACTTTTTTTCACTGCATTACCTTTTCTTTTTCTGTTTAGTTTCAGGTCTCTTTTTTGTTCTGCCACCCTTTCATTTTTCAATCTGGTTTTACTTCTCTTTTAGATGCCCTAAAGCTCTACCCTTTCTTCTATTTTTTCCTAATTCATTTTTTTTCCCACGCCTATTGCCTTCTCACGTTTTTTCTTTTTATTTTTTTTCTCACTAAATCATGCCTTTGGTCTCATTTTTTTTTTATGAGGCCTTCTTCTTCTTTGTTTTTTTTTTCATTTTTATTTTTATTTTCCAACCTTCTTCATCCTTTCTTTATTTTTTAGTTTTAAGTTCTTATTGCTTCATGCTTTTAATTTTTTTAATACATACTACCATTCCCAGGTTCAGCTCTTAATTTTTCGCTCCCTTTTGCTTTCAGTGTTTATTCTCCCATTGGTGCCCAAAAGTTTTATCTTTTTCCTTTCACTTTTTTCTTCTACTACTTTTCATTTTTTGCTTCTTCCTCATTTTTTGGTTCACATTTTTTTACTTCCAATTTATGCTCTATTTTAGCCTTTCGCTCGCCCCTTACTTTTCCTTTCTTATTCAGTTTTTCCTTGTTGCACGATGCCAAGAGACCCCTTCCATTTTTCAAACAGGTTTTTTTTAGCTACCCTTCCCCTTTTCGACCTTTGGTTTTTTCTCTTACTATTTAGTTTTTAGTTTTTTTTGCTTGCCCATACACCCATATTCATAACACATGAACATGTGGTTTGCCACCATGCCATGTTCACCCTATGTCCCATGTCCCCTTTATAGTTTTCTTTGGCAACTATTACAGTTGTTTTTAGCAACAGCCACCTTTCCTTTTTTTTCTTGGTTTGGCTACTTTCGTTAAAAGCTCGCATGACATGGTTGGGCTTCCATGTAAAGAGCTCCAATAAGGCCGAATGGGCCTATATTTTTTAGTTTATGTTTTGGGCTTCTTTCATTTCATTCATTTTCATTTTTTTCAACTTTAGGCTTTCAAATCATTATTATTATTATTATTATTATTATTATTATTATTATTATTATTATTTTGTTTTGGAACTAGCTTTTTATTATTATTTGTATTTTCTTTTATTATTTATTATGTATCATTTATTATTTTATTAGTATATTCATTATTATATTTTTTTTATATTTTTATATATTTTTTATTTTTCGTTAAATGGCTAACAATTTACCATTAATGGGCTTTTAAAAGGAAAGTCTTTTAACAAGCTTTTATTAGGCCATTTAGGGGTTTATTTAGGCCTATTCAATGAGTCTGATTATAAGCCCACATTAGGCCTCATATATTTCAAAATAGACCGTGTTATGGGTTTAAAAAGTAATGATCAAAGCCTAATTGCAAAATAAGCCTCAATTAAAAATGATAAAATACCTTAACAAAATTAGGTGTCTACACATGGCAAGACACATAAGCATGAAAGACCAATCATAGAATCCCATTCGACCACACAAGACACCCATGTGCAGCAAGCTCCTTTAAAGATCAAAATAAAATTATCTGTTAGAGTTTAGCTAAGAATTGAACTTGTAATCTCTAATCTCTATCTTAGTTGAACCTACTCCTATAAATAGGCTAGGCCTCTTCAATTGTAAAACATTCCATTCCTTACTTCTCTTCTCTCTTTTAGTTTTTAGTTCTTAGTTCTTTTACTTTTTTTAGTTGAATTATTGGCTTAGGTGACAAATTTGTCAATAACAAAGCTTTTATTCTTTAAATTATTTTTCAATCAAAGTATTTTTTTTTCAAGATCTTTTATTCTATTGTTCTTAATTTCAAATCTTGTTTTTACAATAGTATTTTTAGCAAAGCATTCTTTTTTATTTTACAATTTCAAGTCAAGATTTTCTTTACAAGTTCAGCCATACTCTTTTGATGGTTTACAAGTTTGAGCTTTTATGCAATCTTTGTTCAAGATCTTTACAAGTAATTTAGCAATTCTAATCTCTTTTTGTTCTCAAGTTTTTCACTTATTTTTTTATATTTTGTTTTAGCTCTAGTCTTTAGATTACCAAGTGATAATTGATTAAGTGAGATTTAAGCCTACATTGCTTTTCAATCTTTTTGTTCATTTCTTTGCAATCAAAACCTAAGTTTCCATTTGTTTAGATATAGGATTTCAAGATTTTGTCATTGGTAATTGTGAATAACCCAACAATATATTTTATAATCTCTGAGAAGATAATACTAGAATACTCCACTTATTACTTAATCCGTGCACTTGCAAGCTATACGAAAAGTGACAATCATTTATGCATTAGCAATGAAAACTTCCTTCACTAATACCTTACTTATTATTGACGCAAATTTAAGGTAATAGCAACAGAAATTTTTGTCAAATAACAATTTAAATATATGAGGAATGTGAATAAATTTGAAAATTCTTAAATAAAAGAAGATTCTTAGATACTTTCTTTTCAACAAAAATTTATTTCGAAGGTCTTGATGACTTGTTGATCTTGAATTAAATAAATTTAGAGCTAAATTTTAAGGTTTTGTATGACGTCTTAAAATTTGATCCCAAATTTTATAGGGTGTTGAAATTCTTAGAATTTAGTCCCAAAATCCAAGGAGTCTAAGAAATTTTGCAATTTGATCCTAAATTTAGGGATTCATAGAATTTTGTTCCAAGTTAGGAATTTTTGGATTTAGTCCAAATTTAGGGATCCTTGCATCTTGGTATTTTGATATTTAGAGCTTTTTTTTTTTTTGGATTTGTTTATTGAAATTTTAAAGACTTCAAATTTTCAAATCTTCCCACTTCTACTTGTGAAAGCAAGTGAGACTTTGATTCTTCAAATCTTTTTTTCTCCATTTGTTTTCTTGAACTTATTTCTTAAACTCTAGACTTCATATGTTTTTTGGAGACTTTGATTCTTCATATTTTCTTTTCTCCCAATTTTTTTTTTTGGTTACATTAGAAGGGCAAAACCTAGTACATGTAAGGGGAAGGGAGGATGCTTGATTTGAAACCAAGCCATTGATATCCCCTCAAGCATCTTTAACCACTAGGCTCAAGGTTTGGGGAGCTTTTCTCCCAATTGTTTTTAGGTCTTTTGTCCCCAAATTCTTTGTCATATTGCAAGGTAAGAGAGTTCTAAAAAAATTTAATCTCTTGCTTTTATTTCTAAATTATTTTAATTTAATTAGAGATAAAACAATTGATCTATAGATGAAATTTGATTGGATGATCTATTAAATTTTAGGAATTTGATTGGTCAGAATTTAATTTTTTTGGCTAAATTATTTTAATTTATCCACAAATAGAAATGATGACTAATAAGAAAATTATAATTGATTAGGCTACGAGTCTTTAAAGTTTGATTAGCCAAACATATGTGTTTATCTTGATATGCCAAAGACATAAAAATTTAATTGATAAAAAAATTTTGAAAGACGTGTCACTCGATAGAAAAGTTTCTATTGAAATTTTTTTTTTTTTGCTGTAAAATAAAACGTTTTATATTTCAATCTAATGTTATAGTAATTTAATAAGGGTTTATATTTAATATACTTTCAGTATATAATGATATACACTATGTAAAAAGTATCATTAAAAAATTAATTTTAAATTAAGATTAAATTAAATGAATTTGTTTTTAGGAATTTAAAATTTTAAAATTATTTTTTTTTATGAGGTGTAGTTCACTAGCGTATATAGCCTCTATACACTTAGCATCAAATATAAACTTTCAATAATCTGTTTCCTCAGAATGCAGCCTAACACATTGCGGACATATTGCAATGCTGATGGATGACCTACTACTACTAGTAACAAAAAAACCAAAAACAAAAACATATATTTATATATATATATATATATATATATACAAAAGATGCTAAGTAAAAACAACATTTTCTTCCTCTTCAATCTCATAATTATCTCCTTCAGTTGAACACAAAGGAGATGAAGGAAAAGAAGAAACAGCAGAACAATAAGAAGTTGATTCAGAAGAAGTAGTAGCAGTAGTAGTAAGTGCTAAAAGCAGATCAATGAAGGCACTAATTATAAACCCATGATTGTTCTTCCCATTGACCTTCAAATACCATGCCAACAACTCTTCCAAGCACTCCCAATCTTTCAGCCTATGTGTTTCCACTATCTCTTCCATCGACCTTCTAAAATCAACATAAGGATCATCTGATTCCATAGCTACAACTACACTTTCTTTGAATGGAAACGCTCCAGTTTTAGCCTCTTCCAGGATTGAACTAGTGTCACCAGGCTCGAAGAACAGCCTTTCTGATCTCGCCCCTTGTACAACCATCTCCAATGACTCCCCATCAATGCCCTGATCTGACTCGGTCGAAAAACTTGCTGATTCTGAAGAGTTTGTGAACCATGATTCAGGCGTTTCAACACCATCGTTCGGATCAAAGAACATTGAGTTAACAGTCTTGAAAACATCATCTCCTGCTCTGAAAGAGAGGGTCTTTGGGTGCTTGCATGAAGCCCATTGCCATGGTTGCCTGCTTGGTACTTTGTTCTTGAATAAAGCATGCAGTTTCATTTTGTTGCCCATTAACCAGTTGAGAACTGTGTTGAAATGGTTTTTTTTTTTTTTTTCTTCTTGGTTTGTGATTGTGGATGGGTGTGAGTTTTAGGTTGGGTATTAAATTTTGGAGCAGAGGGAGTTGAAGGAGTATTTAAAGGAGAGGTGAGCAGGAAAGAAAATGGGGTTGGTAGGGCCTGTCATGTGTGTATTAAATTTTGGAGTTTGTAGAATTCAATGATATTTAATGCCAACCCTTAAAATAATTATAATTTTTATATTGTTAAACTGATTTTTTTAATCCTAATTAAAAATGAAATTCATAATTTATATACTTAACTGCTTCTTATGTATAAAAAGGATTATAAGTCTAACCTAGATCTAGTAATTTTTATATTGGTGTTTGTTTATTTTGTATTAAATATATACAAAATAAAAAAAATTTTATATCATAATTTATATTAATACGTCAAATATGAAATTTTTTTTATCAAATTCATATATAATTTTTACTAAAATTTTAAATCATATTATTTTTATATATTATTTTTGTATCATATAATTATATAACATTTAAAATTATCAAATTTATCTAGGTACTATTTTCTTTCAATACAAAAAAAATGTTGGCTTTAGAGGTGAATCTAAAGGAGGTTGGTTGGCAGGGGCTATGACCCTTTTGTTCCTCAAAATCACTATAAGAGTATATTTTCATTCAAAAAACGATAAAATCAAAATTCCCTCCCTCCCCCCCCAAAACAAAATAAATAAATAATTTAGCCCTTCCTTTCAGAACAATGTAATGATTTGGTAAATTTCATAAGCTATTAAAATTTTTACCTTTAGATGCAATAAATAATTTGATTTTCTTTCTTTTTTTCAATAAAAAATTTATCCTTTTTAATGTAATCATTATTATTTCATTGAATTTTTTAGTTCCTTAAAATTAAATTCTCTTTTCAATTTATTAAACAAGCATATTGACATTAATTATTATGTCAAAATATTTCTTTTTATATAAGCAAAAAAATATAATTAAAAAATTTCAACTACATATATATTGTGCACATAAAATTACAAATTTAATTGTACATTATATTTTTTTATCGAATTTTTCATTTTTAGAACTAAACCTTCTAATATTTTACTTTTATTCTTTATTTTTTAAAAAAGTTATTAGTTAGATTTTAACTATTCTTTAAATATTCAAAAAATTTCTTTTAATTGTAAAAAGAAATGTATACTTTATTATTATTATTATTATTATTATTATTATTATTATTATTATTATTATATTTAACATTAATTTTTTAATTAAAATTTTATCGGTCCTGCCAAAATAAAAAAAATGATATAAAATTAACCATGAAACGTTTGCTTCATAAAATGAAAATATAGAGAAAGTAATTATTTTTGGGGAACAAACCAGAGGGAGGATAGTTATTTTGCAATTTGGTTCATAAAATAGAATAGTAAAGAAATAGAATTAAGATGTTCAATTTATTAAAAATTATATTAAAAAATATGTAAGGAATAAGTATAAAAATATTATTTTCTTTTTTAATAAAATCATTGATATGTTAATTATAAAAAAATTTATCTTGAGAGTTGATACTAGCATAATTAATTAATAATAGGCTAATCCTTCAAATTGGACAAGTCCATGTGAAAATAAAACTAAAGTTATACCCATAAAATTGATCAAAACCTCAAATATCTGACAAAAGTTAAGAATTCAATCCTGTTTAACTCAAATCCGACCTGACCGGCCAATCCACACCCCTAATTTTGACCCAATTTTTGTTATTTTAGTAGTACTTTACAAAAGACGCAATGGGCATTTCCAATCATTTCTATTGGGAAAAAAAAAGTGCTTTTATTTGCTGCATTGCTTTTACTTTTCACATTTTTTAATTACTTTTTGGTAAAAATGATTTAATTTTTTTTAATTTTAAAATTTTCAAATATATAAATTCAAAAACTTAAAAGTGAGAAAGAATTTGATTAAAAGTAATTAAGTGAATTTTATTTAAAAATAATTTTGAAAAGAAAAAGTTTTAAAAAAAAAAAAAAAACGAAGACTTAACGAGGGACAAATTTCGTGTGAGTGTTTAAGGAGCAACGGTTGAATCACACATACTTGTTCTTTCCCATTAAATTAAGAGGGAGAAGATTGAGACGTGAGACAGGATCAGAACAATAGTTTCATTTATGACATTTACTATTTTTTTTTAATTCTATTTTCCCTCTTACTCTTCGCCATAGTGAGTAAATAATCTGCAAGAGTTTCTTTGACCTTTTAACCATTAAATTTGTGTGTCTCATTTATTTATTCATTGGATACCTCTAATTAGATTTATTCATAAATCGTGATTGATCATGTTTTGATTTTAGAAAACTTTCGTTCAAAGTTTAATCCAATTCTTCGCGATCTAAAAGTATTGGAATTTTTAAAATAAAAAATATTAATATTTTTTTACTTCTAAATATATTATATAAAAATTAATTTAAATAAAAAAATATTTTTATTCATTAAATAATATCTCAAACTGAATCCAACCCAAAATTACATTTTGACTTAAAAAAAAAGAATAAAATCGAGTGTTGACTTAAATTTCTTTTAAAAAAGAAAGCCAATTATTTTTTATAGAACATGAATTTTTGAAGAACCCAAAAATCTGTAAATTCGAAAAAAAAAAAAAAAAAAAAAAAAAACCTTTTGCCATATTCATCTATACTGATAGGTAACAAATTCATCTATCTTCCACCTCTTCAAATATTAAACTTGTCCAAAGCCAAACTACTCCTAACCTAAAAAAACTCACAAAAATCAGTGTTACCCAAAGCCAAAATCTAAAACCACCACAAATCACTGCAAGAAAAATCCATTATTCTCAATTAACATTAACTTAGAATTCCCAATTTTAAGATTCATCCATTTACAAACAAAAATATAAAAAATTTTAAATAGAACCCTAAAAATATATATATAATGAAATGGAAATTTGGGTGAGAAAATAAATTCTAAAGACTTAAAAAAAAAAAAAAACTAAAACTAAAACTTTTTCAACCACTTAAATAAGGTAAAATAAGAGACCCTTTCAAATTTTATAAAAAAATCCCAAAAATCTAGAGGGCATGAAATTTTTTAGTTTTTGAGTTGTGCTTTTGAAACTTTAAGAAAAATAGATTGTTTTTTTCATTTGACCAAAAAGTAGATTATTTTTACAAGGAACAAGAGATAAAGGAAGAAAGGATCTAAATAGATATTTTTGTTATCTACATTTTCTTTACTTTCACCATCGAAAATACATTACTAGAAATAATAGCAATATCAACATATTTTTACCAATGGATTCCTCACCATTTATCGATAAAAACGAAAAAAATTAGAAATTTTTTACAAACAAAATCCCGACTATTTACCAACGGAATTTATCGACTGATTTTTTTTCGTCGATATTCCGTAAGTGAATCAACCATGGGAAAATATGCAATTGACGCGTTTTATAGTCATGGAAAAAAATTGTCACTAATCTGTTGCTAAAACAATGGATTTTTCCCATTGGTAAAAAAATTTTGTTTTAAAAGTAAAGCTATTTTTTAATTAAAAAGAAAGGTAAATTTGTTATTAGCAATGGATTACCGATTAATTTTATCAATAAGAGTTTGAATTATCGATAAAATCTATCGATAATTAATTGCTATTAATTGAAAAAAATTTTTAAATAGTGACAAAAAATCCATTGGTAAAAGTTATTAAAATCCATCAGTGAAGGTCTATTATATCTACAATTTCCTTTTCCCTTTCTCTTCTTCTTTGATTTCAATCCTTAGCTCTCTCTCTCTTTCTCTCCTTCTCTTTTCTCCTCCCCTCTTTTCGGTGCTGTGTAGTCTTTTCCTTGTTGCCCTGCCATGCGATGCCATACCGTAACTGCTTGGGCCTTTAAGCCCATGATGCATTAGCCTTCAACTCGTGATTGCTGACCACCCCATGATCGCCACTCGCTCCTCCCCGTGACCGCCATCAACTTTTCTCCTCTCTCCACTCATCTTCTCTACCAAGGTATATTTTCAGTTCCTAGCTTGTTGATTTTGTGAAAGACAAAGTATTTTGGCAGTATTGAAAAAGAGATTACTTAGTATTTTTGCAATATTGAGAAAAAATTACTTGCTATTTTTGAAATATTGAGAAAGAGATTACTTACTATTTTTGCAATATTGAGAAAAAAAATTACTAGCTATTTTTGCAATATTAAGACAAAAAAATTAATTGGCATTACAAAAAATTTATCATATACTGACACTTGGTTATACTGACTGTCAAATTGTATTAGTAAAAAAAACTTTAACTGACAGATTTTTAATACCATCAAAATATACCATACATTTACCAACACTTTATACAACCGTTAGTTACATTTACCAACACTTTATACAACCGTTAGTATAGATAAACTTTTTTTATGGTATATAGTTATCTGTCAATATAAGTATGCTATATACTAACACTTATCTATACTGACGGTCAAATTATGTAAGTAAAAAGTATCTATACTAATGGATTTTTATTACTATCAGTATAGACAGTGCTTATACCAACACTTTGTAAATCCATCGGTATAGATAAATTTTTTTTAACGGTATATAAATATCCATCAGTATAAATATGTTATATACTGGCAGTTATAATAACCATCAATATAAGCTAAAAAAATATTTATTCCTAATTTTTTAAAAAATATTAATTCATAATTTTTTCCTCTAATAAAAATTTTCAAAAACTATAATTTGATAAAAGCTATAACTATTAATAAATAAAATTTGTAACTTAATTAATTTTAAATGATAATAAGTTTTAAATAAAATTTGTAAGTATTATATTAATTAATAAATTTATAATTAAATATTAGACTAAAAATTTTTTAAATTTAAATATTATATTAATTTGGTTTTAATTAATATTTCAGTTTTAATATGGTTTCATAAAATTTTAAAATCATTTCAAATCGAAAGTCAAATTATAAATAATCTACATATATAGTAGTATTTATATTCATATAGATATTTTTCTATGTTATTTGTAAAAT